AGAGAGAGAGAGAGAGAGAGAGAGAGAGAGAGAGAGAGAGAGAGAGAGAGAGAGAGAGACTGAGGACCTGGATCTAGTTTCCCTCCTGTGGATGAACATATAAAGGAAATGAAACATATAAACACCTAAAAGACTTTTTGCTATTTAAACACAAAGATCCTGAGATTCCACCTTACACCAATCAGAATGGCTAAGATCAAAAACTCAGATGACAGCAGATGCTGGTGAGGATGTGGAGAAAGAATACTCCTCCATTGATGGTGGCATTGCAAGCTAGTACAACCACTTTGGAAAACAATCTGGTGGTACCTGAGAAACTGGAAATACTTCTACCTCAAGACCCAGCTATACCACTCCTGGACATATAACCAAAAGATACCCCAATATATAACAAGGACATATGTTCCACTGTGTTCATAGCAGTCTTATTTATAATAGCCAGAAGCTGGAAACAACTAGAAAATATCATCCTGAGTGATGTAACCCAGACCCAAAAGGACACACATGGTATGCACTCACTGATAAGTGGATATTAGCCCAAAAGCTCAGAATACCCATGATACAACTCACAGACCAAATGAAACTTAACAAGAAAGAAGACTAAAGTGTAGATGCTTCAATCCTACTTAGAAGGGGGAACAAAATAATCATGGAAGATAAAGGGAAGGAAGGATCTGGGAGAGAGAGAGGAAGGGGAGGGGAAAGGGGGGCAGGATTAGGTATGGGAAGAGACAGGAGAGAAGTCCAGAGGGCCAGGAAAATGAATAGAAACATGTAGCAGTGGGTGGTGGGGAACTGGGGGAGCCACTAGAAAGTCACAGGTGGACCTGGAAGGCATAGTGCTAAGTGCCACAAGCCAGGCACAGACCGACAGAGCCAAGTGACCTCATTCAGCATCTATGAAAGTCACTCCTCGAAGCAGAGAGTAGAATGGTGGCTTCCTGGGTCTGGGTAAAGAGCTCTTAGAAAGGGATTTGGAGAAAGCCAATGAGAGGATACGAAAGTTAAATTCTGTATAATGAATATGATTTACAGACCTGATGGGTAGCACAGTGACTAACGGATTGCACAGCCTTGTATGAGACCTGCCGAGCTTGTGAGGTATGTGTGTGTGTGTGGGGTTGGGGACTCGTCTGCCACAGTGGGCAGAGAGGAGATCTATGGCACTCCATCAGCGATGGCCCCTTTTATCAGTTATGTCTCAAAAAAGCCGGAAAAGAAAGTATATGTCCCTTTCCTTTTTGCGTGCCTGCAGAAGCAAAAGAAAATTTAATTCCTGGTTATTAGTTTTGAGAAGCTGGCTTTCAACTGTCTGTATTCATTCCTGGGTAAGAGGTGAGAACTGAGCCCCTAGATTCTCAGTTCACAGTCATTGCAAAAGGACAGAGGTTCTACTTCTGCCCAAACCCCACATTCTTTTCTGACTAGAGAGCTGGGCTGGCATGGGTTGGGGGTCGGGGCGCTGTTTGTTTTGATATTTTTTTTGAGACCAGTCTTGCCATGTAGCCCAGGCTAGCCTAGAATTTGCAATCATGGAATTATTATAGAATAATAGCATTTGCTTCTGATTTCTGAGTGGTGGGATGGCACATATGTATCACTATGCCCAACCCTTTTAGTTTGTTTGAAGAAATTCATTTCTATTTTTAATTATATGTGTGCGTGTGTATCTATCTATATGGAGGTATATACACTTGGGTAAAGGTGCCTCCAGAGTTCAGAAGAGAACATTGGATCCTCTAGGGGTCAAGTTACATGGCTTTTGTGAGCTGCTCAACATGGGTGCCAGGAACCCAAGCCTCTTAGTGTTTTTCTTAATGACAATTCCAAAGAAATTGCAGGAACAGATTCATCTCTTATAGAGCAGTGTTTGCACTATAGGGGTTTGCAGGAAGAAAACAAAAGCCAAACTATTTGCCACCTCTAACTTCCCATTTCCTTCCGTGTGCTGTTTCCTATCATCTCCTGGGAAAAGCGTTGGAGATTTCGCATCTTAATACAACTAACAAACAAACAAAACAAAACTATTCTAATAAATACTCAGTGGTACTCCCTCAAACTAAGAAAAATTAGGTTACCTGTGTCTGTAAGGTTTTCAATAACGATTTTTTTCAAAATTGCCATAGAGTTATATGACCAATCCTCTAGATTTGAGCTGTTTCCTTTCTCAGTTCAAAAACTTTTACAGATTTTATTTTTTTAAGTGTACAAGTGTTTTGCCTGCGTGTGTGTATGTGTGCCGTGATCATGCCTGGTGTCCTCAGAGGTCAGAAGAGGGCACGAGATTCCCTGAACTATGGCACAGACATATATGCAGGCATAAAGCCCACCCACATGAAAATAGTTAATGGTTTTAATTACATAAAAGACTATTCTGGTGGGAAAACTTGGAAATGACATTGACCATCTATAAGAAGATCTCCAGGAGGTTGTGAGCCTCCTCATGAGTGCTAGAAACCATACCTAGATCCTCTGAAAGAGCAGCAAGCGGACTTAAAGGTCCCTGCCCCCTCTTTTCAGTTTTTTTTTTTCAGTAAAAAGTTTTGGCTTCAG